AAAACTAAAGGAAACTGTGAGACAAGACCAAATTCTTACCAAACCTTGAGAACCCATGATGCGATTTTCCCCTTTATTTTTTTAAGTCACCATCCACGTGATTTTCCTGTTGGAATCATAACTTCATTTCCCCATATTTCAATTTCATTTATTAAGGCAAAGAGTAAATCCTCATTGAGCACTCCAAGAGATTCACGAACATGTTCACGTAAAACCCCTTTTAGCCACACTATCTTCTGCAACTTGCATCAGTTCCTTGTTATTTCTTCAAACGTTCATGAGTCCTATTCTTCTAGTATTCAGTTGTAATATACGAATCAATCATAACACCAACTACAAAAAGAAGATGCTTTACATAGTCTAATTTGAAGTAATTACCTCGCATTTCATGGATCCACCACAACACCTTAGGCAAAACACGATGAACGTTTTCTTTAAGAACAACATCCAGCCATTTCCCAGCAACAGCAGTGTTCAAAACAAACAGATCAGCTCTTAGAGCAGTATCTATAGTCGGTTTTTGCCTGGGTTTTCAATTTCTAGAAAAACTTGAAGAGTTACGGTTCTGTTATCTTCATGTCGAGACTGGTTGACGACGAGTTAAGCTTAGTTCTCAAACGAGTTTATCATCAAAACGACATGAAATCCTTCTCTCAAGTATGCAACCCAAGGCTGCGGGTGGAAGGTTTATCCCGATTATCCATTCGGGTTCTTGAGCTCGATCTCCTCCCCAGTTTCATGCCCAGATTCCCAAATCTTCTTTTCTTTGAAACCTAGATTTTTATCTCTGATCCCCATCTTGAATTCGTGGCCAAAACATGCTCCAGGCTCCAAGTTCTTAACCTTGATCTTAAGAAAACACTTGAAGAATTCGATGAAGTTGATGGGGTTTCTGGCTTGGCTTTCTAATCTCCCTTTTCTTATTTTTACAACCGGTCTATCTCTTAAAAATATCTTCCATTTGTGTGGTTTTCTAATTTACATATTATAAAAATAATAATAATTGTAGTGGTTGAACAACTCTTTCCACTTGGGGTTATTCATTTTCAATATTTTAAACCTAAGAAATCTAACCCCATATTGGGGTGTGACACACCCATACGTGTTGGCTCTTCATAGTCTTCTGCTTGATGTGTACTTTTTGAAGAACTTGGAAGATGCTCACAAAACTCTATGTTCCCAGTTTGTGTTTTCTTTTCCCTCATTTCTTTGCTCAATATATTTTGAGATGATGGCTTCTTTTGTTGTGTTATTATGAGTGCAACTTGTAGGAATCTCTTTTGGTCTATATTACACGAATTCAGGTGTAAGTGTTGGATATGATGAGTTTTTTTTCTTAGTTTTTTAATGTGCTTAGAGGGTTCTTGGAAGGTCATATCGTTATATCAATGTCTGGATATGCTCGAATATGGGTACTTCAAAAGAATGACGTCTAGTGTTGTAGGTTACGGCTGCATATAGAATCTTGTTATTTTAAGTGTTTCTACTATTTAGTTTTCTATTTTTGAAGGTTACCCTGACTGCCCATTTTCAAAAAGACCTGGGGTTAGATAGTTTGGACACTGTGGAGGTTGTCATGGCCTTGGAAGAAGAATTTGGGTTTGAGATACCTGATAATGAGGCAGACAATATCAGCTCAATCAATCATGCTGTTGAGTTCATTGCTTCTCACCCTCAGGCAAAGTAGATGTGAAATTATGAAATTCAACTCTTCATTTGTTTTCACTTTGCTCTCGCGAGACATGAAACTGCACCGGGTAATTCCATGATCTCCTCGCCCAGACAAATGCTTCTGGACCTCCGGTACTGAGTGTTTGTATTGGGGAGGATTTTTTTTTATATTTAATGCTTCAACGGTCCTGTTCCAATTCATAAATAACTTTTTAGTGAGAGGCTATTCTTTTATTTACCTTGACAGTGTTTCATTCTGAGTAATAAATTTATATCATTGGGTTAAGAAAATAATTATACTTGATCTCAGCTTCATTAGTTTGCCGTGCCATGGTTTCCCTCTATGAGGAAACATGGGCTTGCTTAATTGTCTAGGCGGCTGGCAGATTGTTACCGGCAAATCTGGCCCAATAGGACAGAGATTTTTTTATTTATCCCAATAGGGTATATTCAATTTTATTTTGGGATTTACCGAGTTTACTGAATCAAATAATATATTGAATGATACATGTAGACAAAAGTGAAGGAAAATCCCATTCTTTGTAGCACAAAATTGAGGAGTAAGTTGAATCATAAGTACAAAGCCTGGGCCCTGATATTAATATAATTAAACTATCCGAGGATCCAAAATGTCATCTTTATCTGAAGTTCCCAAAATTCATAGTAATTGACAAGAATGAAATCTCAAATCAAATGCTATTGCCGAACTTCAATGTTAGAGGATTTAAAACAAATAATATGCTGTCAGCCAAAAAGGGTCTATATATGTTCCTAATCAGTGCTTGAATCAGTTAAATTTAAGGATGGAAAGCAAATCATGTATGTGTACATAATTTCAATCCATCACTTCCTTTTTATGCATCATTCCATGTGAAAGTTGGGGTTCCATGGCAGACGGCCATACTGCTTGACTTTTGTGGAACGGTGGGAATTGCAGTCGGCACCCAGTTGTTGCATGCCGAGGTGGTCAATCCACTCGTCGTTGTCGATGAAAGCTGTGGAACGTAATACAAGTTCCTTGAATGGTAACTCGGATCAGCTGATCCATACAAGTCATAACCAACAGCTTTCACTTCATTGTCAATGCCACTGGCTACAACTGTGCCCATAGGGATACATATCCTCCACCGCCGCCTGTGTATTCTTGATAGCTACCGTTAGGACTATCAGTGCCAGTACCACCGTTACTATAGATGACCGAGTTAGAGTTCAAAGCGAAGCTGTGTTCGATTGAAGAATAGTCCATGGCCATGAGATTGTGCAAAACAGAAGGCTGAATAAAGTTCTGGGAGCTCCCTAGTAGTAGTTGATGAAGATCCTGGAAGGTGTGATCGGCATCGGAATCGGGATCTTGCTTGCACCAAACTCGTTGTCCATAAGGGTAGTGCAAGCTGAAAGGCTGAGCTTGTTGAACTGCAATGGCAGAAGGCCTCCGAGGCTGTGATGTTTGTGATATGTTTGAACTTTGGAGGCATGGCATATCCGAAAGAAGTGTCCATGAAATGGTATGGTATGCATTGATCCCATTAATGCCACGTATTTATCTTTCTCTATCAACCCTTATTCTGTTGCCACGTATTTCAAATAAACTACTGATGTTTAAAATGAAGGTCGTGATAGGTTAAAGGCATATGCAGTGAATTAGGGTTTTGGTCGTGGTAAAGAGATAGAAGTAACAAAACATAAGGCCGGGAATATATGAGCGCCGCCCAGTGGTGGAGGCAGATGGTCAAAATTAAGGGCATGAGGATGGATCTTTACGTAAATTAAGGGTTTAAATTTAAGGGTAGTGGCCAACCAGGGTGCCCTTAGCTTTGCAAATTTGTCTTTGCTTTGTTCGCTAAGGGTGAACAGCGTTGCGCCTACGGATCCTCACTAAATGCCAACACACCCTCCTTATATAAATTAATTAGTTACTTTTTTATTCACCGCAAATATATTAATAAATTAATGGCCGGATTTATCATAGATTTTATATTTCAAATATAATTTTTATTAATATATATCCAGTATATAAATTTATAATATCTTTATTATATATATTTAATAACTTATAGTAAATATTGACTTGAATTTTAATTGATGATATGTTAGATTTTATTATAATTCTAAGAGTCGAAGACTCCTTGATAATTAAGTTTATTTAATTAGTAAATATTTATTTTATATAATAAGTCTTATAGAACTATGTTTTATGTATCAAGTATTTGATTCTATGAATAAAGAGTATTTCATAACCTTTAGAATTACAAGAGAGAATTATTTTAGATAGTTATATTGGAAGAGTGATTTAGGATATTACAAGGTTTGATAAAATTGCATGAAATTTTAAAATTACTATATACTTTAGATTTTTTTATATATTTTTTATTAAAAATTTGTTTCCTTCCCTAAAATTTAAGTTCACTCTCCTACAATTTTAAAAGTTAAAGTTCACCCTCTAACATTGAATTTTGCGACCGTCCCTGTAAATTATACTTTCATAATCTCTACATTTATAATAGATTATTGTTAATCTCATTCGTTAAAGTAACTGATATTGAACCACATTAAATCTCCCTCCATATATATGATTTTTTTTTACATTCTTATTGTTTTTTTTTCGCTTGTAAATTCCTGACGTAAAATATAAAAGAAAATTTAAAACGTCAAACAAGAAATTTCAACACTGACCCGTAGTATAGTGGCAAGTACGATATTTATCTTTGTAAAAAAGAAAGGCCTGTGAGCACTTTGAAGTTTAATAGGTTAATAGATTCGACTGGTACTGGAGTTCTTACCAAATCTTAAAATTGGATACTGGACTATTGTTAGAAAGGCCACTAGTATTAAAGAGTTCGCTGAAGCCTAAGCTCTTTATTTTTCAGTTTCTTTCTAGCAGCTGGGTTTTGTAATACCTTCCATTCCCAAAGCCCTTCAATTTTGACAAAAGTCACTAATTAAGTTGTGAGATCAGCAGTATTGCTAATAAGAGGCATAGCCATGTCATAAGTGGCAGGGTCTTTTATTTGCGATATACAAACAAATTTTTAATCTTTTACGTGGAACGATTAGTTTGTTACTCCTATTTTCCTCCGTTTCTTGGTAGCCAGAAACATTTTTTTAACAGTCAACTGAATTTGGTATAACCTAAGTTTCTATAATCCTGAAGTGACTTTTTCATCTCATTTTCATTGCTTACCGGGAACAGCTCTACCAGAATTTTAAATTGAAATTTTCTTTATTAAACAGACACTTACAAAGCTAAGGTTTTGAAGGAACAATTTCACTAATGAGGAGCAGAAGTTCAAATTATGACATTATTTACATTTATAATTTACTTTTACTTGCTTTGTTTCTTTGTGGTGTGGTGAATTTTCAATACTTTTATTTTTAATTTTGTTCTCGCAGAATCTGCTCGAAGGCGATGACTTGTATAGGATAAGACTCCCATCTAATGTTGTGAGTCCACCCGGACGGGATTTTATTATTTCATCGGTGAATGCGGTAAGTGCTACTGTCTACTTCAACTTGTTTGTTGAAATTTCAAACCTTATGCCTTTTCTATTGGAATCCTTTGTTGCTTTTTCTTTAGTTAAACTCATCAAGAAGAAACTTGAAAGTTTAACTGCTCTGCTTGCAAATTTAGGGTCTGTTTGTTTGGGGAAAATCAAATACGGAATTAGTTTTCCCCAAAATCTCGTGTTTGTTTCACGTAATTCGCTTTCCGAAAATGTTTTCTTGTGTTTGTTTCACGTAATTCGCTTTTCGGAAAATGTATTTCAGTGTTTGGTTGAAATAAAACTGGTTGGTCAACGTAAAACATTTTCCTGGTCAACAGAATTTCCTTTGTGTTTTCTGGAAAATGACTTACGATCTGATTTTCCGTAAGTCATTTTCTCAACTTGTCACTTCAAAGAATAAATACTCAAAATAATTTTATTTTATGAGTTTAATATTAATAAAATATTTTAATATCATTTTAATCAAAATATTAATTATTAAAATATTTAAAATATATTTTATTAATATTTATAATAATATAATATTATATTTTTAATATTATAATAAAATAATCAATTATATTATAATAATATAAGATATTAAATATTATTAAATTATTAATAATGAATAATATTATTTATATATTTAATATTAATATAATAATCTAATAACATTTTAATAAAGATATTTAAAAGATACTGATTAATATTTTTAAAATATAATATAATACTATTACTTTAATAAATAATTAATATAATTTATAATATTTTTATTTCAATAAAATATACCAATATTAATATTTTTATTAATAAAATTATAAAAATAATATTTAATAATAAATAAATTATTTTAATATTTTAAAAATAATAATAGTAAGTTTTATTATAAATAATATTATTTATTGTATTCAATAATTTGTAACGTAAGGTAATACTGCTAAAAGTTGCTATATGGAGATATCGAGGATGAAAAGCTAGAATTGACAAATAGGATTTTGGTTTGTAGTTTGCAGCCTTAATTGTCAAATGGAAATAAATATTAGGCACCGTTTTTCTGTTTTCTACTCTTTGTTTATAGTTTATTAATTCAACTTTATTTTTTTGTTTAACTGTAGAGATTTCTTCCAAGGGAGGGCTTGGATAGCATTCTGTAATACACATGGTAATATTTTAAATTCAGTGGCATAAATTGGTTATTTGTTGTTGATCTCACACAATCCTTCTCTTCTCTCCCTCTCTCCATTTTGTTTGTTTACCTGCATATACACAGCCCTTTTATGTGGTGATTTTTTTCGTCCTGGGTTTTGACAAAAAGCTTTTGCAATTCTTTGAAAGCCAAATGTCGATGAAGACTCTTAAACCTCATGCTCTGTTGCCTCCTAAAGTTACTATACTTGATCATAGGAAATACACATGTCGGATGAAACGGTTTTTGGTATCTGTTCCAATAACGAGTTATTGGGTTTTACTGAATAAAATAGACAGGCCTTTTCTAAGGTTATAATTTCCCTTTGTTGGGGTTTTCCCCCAATTTGGCAAATATTTTTATTAATTAGCTCAATAGACATGTTGGATTTTATTTTGAGATATACGACATTTGTTACAGTAAACCTAGAATTTATCACGTTGATTTGACGAGTTTCATTAAAAATAATTTTTAATAGTCTTAGGTATGTGGGCCTCATGTTGGCCAATATTTTATTATTTTCATAAGAACTCGTCATATCGAGATGCCTAGTTCTGTAAGAAATTAATTTTTTATTTTTACCTTTACTAAATAATTTGAAAATTAAAAAAATATCTCAAACTCATCCCGTCTAGGTGACAAGTTTGCTTTAAATTTTAAAAAAAGTAATCGTTTCTTGCCGTTGCACAATAGGCAATTTGCAATGGTAACTATGAGACTTTTGATCTCGACGTGACGAGTTTGGTAGGTTTTTTTAAAAAAAACTAGCCTTTTATGACCATTGGGTTTGAGGTTATAAATAGGAGTTTTGGGTTTAGATTTTTTATTGTGTTTTGGTAAGAAAAAAAATTGGAAAAATATTCAAAATTTTCAAAAAATGTCAACCCGCGATGAAATGTTATGTCTCGATAATGTTCATATTTCTTGGCTCGAGCTCGAATCGGATAAAGAACGGTGCATTTTTCAAAGAGGAATAAGTCTTAGAGATCCACCTGAGCGGATTATTATATATTTGCAACAATCCGTGTTGTATCCAGCGACGTTTTGCATGGTATTAAAGTGAACATGACATTGATATTGGCTCTAATTGAACGTTGGAGGCCAGAGACACATACTTTTAATTTTTAGAGTAGTGAAGCGACAATTATGTTGGAAGATGTTGCTTATCAACTCGGTGTTCCAGTTAATGTTGTGGCGGTAGTGAGGCATAACAATTTCGATTGATTCAGAATTGTTCACAAAGTTTTGGGAAATGTTCCACCTTCAGAGGTTTTAGACGGGTATCATATACGAATTACTTGGTTGGAGTTCGAATTTAATGTGACAGACGACTCTATTGAAAAAGAGGTGATTTTTACAGCCCGAGTGTATCTTCTCTAATTGATTGGAGGGATATTGTTACCGGATAAATTTGGTAATTTGAAGCACATTTAGTATCTTTCGATATTGAATAATTTTACTAAGTGCCACAACACTAGTTGAGGTTCAACGATTTTGAGTTTTTTATACTGGGAACTTTGCAAGGATACAATCGTTGAACGGAGTCAAAAAGTGGATGTAACGGGTTGTCTAGTCTTGCTACAATCTTGGGCATGGTACCGGTTCCCATTTTTTACGCCAATCAAAACAGTCCCAGTTGAGTTTCCTCTCGTCACAAGGTAATTTTTTACCATTGTTTTTTTAAAATTAAAATTAAATCCAGACAAGTTTAAACGGTTTATTTTTTAAAATTCAAAAGTTGTCCGTTGCACAACGAGTATTTTTTTTAAATTCAAAGCAAACTCGTCACGACGAGGTGAGGAGTGTTAACTTCCTAAAAAGGCTACTTTTAAAGCCTTTTTCACTTAAGTTATTGTTTGTTTAAAAGCTCATTTTAGGATCATATAGTTGCATTTGTGGTGGTTGTGTTATTTTATTTCTTAATGGTGTTGTTTGAGGGAAAGGTGCAATTTGTCTATAGTGTGCAGGGAATAGCAAGAAAAAGGATTCTTTGGGAAGTAATGCCGCGGCATCACACGTTGCTAAAGCAGATTGAAATGCCTTGGCATTTCCGGCGCAAAAAAAGACAAAAAGATATTTCTACATCAGGACAGCTGGCACTGGACAGCTGTCTCTGCACGTGAAGGACTGCTGTAACCGCCTGCTAGAGCTGCCAATGGACCACTGCCACTTGGAGGATAAGGTTCATGCACAACATGTGATTCTAGGGGTATGAGGGGTATTTTGCACCCAACAAACTCATCATTACCCCTAGATATTTTTTATTATATATGACACCTCATGGGAGAGAGAGATACACGGACAGAGAGCACACGCATAGAGCAGAAAAATCACATTTTTATTTTCTCTTTTCCTTTCTTCTTCCTTGGGATATTCCTCCATTGATAAAGCTCCAAGGAGTGGCAAGCTAGGCGCCGAAAGGAGCTAGCGAGCTAGGTGGTTCGTGGTGGCCGAGAGGAGACCTCCGGTGGCGCGTCGAAGGCTTCTTCTCACTTCCCTTTTTGCTGCTATTTTTATATTATTTTGTGGGTTGTTGGAACGAATATTTTCATGACTTTGTATTTGGATATTTCGAACCCCACCATGAACTAACTTATTTGGTGGTGGTTGATTTAATGGTTGTTTAAACTTTATTTTTAATGGTATATTTAAGTTTATTTTGGTTCTTTATTTTCTTTGCTTATGAATGCTTCACCATCTAGGCTTGTAAGAGGCATGGAAATGTCCATCTCTTAGATGAAGATTAGGTATTCGGAAGAATCCTAAACTAAAAATACTTGTAAGTATTCGGAAGAAACGCAAGATAAGATCCTCATAAGCAATGGGTTATGGTATTTTCAAGGGGCTTTGAACCGGCCTAGGAATATTATAACTTAATCCCTTAGATCTCGGAAGAGACTAGGATAGGATTTCAACGACTAAAAAGGGTGTCTTTATCAATAGGGTAGGCTGTCCAACATCGTTGAGTGAGAGCATATGCCTTGGCATCCTATTCTGTTAGGTTCTTTTGAACACCTTAGGAAAGCCCTGTCGAGTAAGTAAAGTCAAGATAGCTTAAATATACTTGAGAAATAAGTTTAGCAACCTTAGACCAATCCTTACCATTCATTTCATTGGAAGCTTGTCACGTGAGGATTATTTTCTTCTTATTTTATTTATTTATCTTTTTATTTACTGTTTTTACCATTTTTCATTGCCTTGACATTTCACCATACTCAATATTAAACATCCATCATTGCCACTGTATTTTCATTTGCTACACCATCACACCATCAATCCGCATCCACCAGCATACACATATCCATTGCCGTGACATTTGTATATATCCAGACTAACTATACTTAGATAGAATATTGCATTGTTTTGGTTAGACTTTTGTGATTTCACCCAATCCATGTGGAGACGATACTCACTCATCATTATATTACTTGAGCGATTGTGTATACTTGCACATTATTTGCGTATATTTTATAGTACTCACAACACGCGAACAAGTTTTTGGCGCCGTTGCCGGGGATTGACAGCTTGAAGTTATTTAGTTTTGCCAGAGCATTTTATTTTGTTTTGCATTTTTATTTTTTTGTATAGTTTACTTGATATTTTTGTTTTATTTTTCAGGTTTATTTAGTGTATGCCTAGAAGAAATTCTAAAGAGCCTTTGGAACCAATAGAACCTGAGATTGAAAGACTCTTTAGAAGAAGAAGACGTGCTCAAGGAAATATGTATCAGATTGGAAACCAAGGCATTGGTCAAGATGACAGAAATCAGAATGTCGCGGCATTAAACAATGCTGAAGCTGCTATCAGGCCTTGTGTTATTTGAGATCATTTAAATCCGATGCTGGATGATCTGAATCCTGGGATTGTGGCACCCGAAATTCAAGCTGCACATTTCGAGCTGAAACCAGTCATGTTCAACATGTTGAATTCCATTGGGCAGTTTGGGGGTATGCCAACTGAAGATGTCAGGCAGCACATTCGCAATTTTCTGGAAGTTTGTGATTCTTTCCGCCAAGAAGGAGTGCATGAGGATTTTCTGAAATTAAAGCTTTTTCCGTATTCATTGCGTGACCGAGCAAGAGCTTGGTTGAGTGGTGTACCAGCCGGTTCGATGGAATCATGGGCCGATCTTTGCAAGAGTTTCTTATTGAGGTACAACCCACCAAACATGAATACGTAGCTAAGGAATGAAATATCATATTTTCGCCAGGACGACGACGAATCCATGTATGAGTGTTGGGATCGTTACAATAGTTTGCTTCGAAAGTGTTCAAATCATGGTTTTCATGATTGGACTCAAGTAGTCATGTTCTATAATGAAGTCAATGCACCCACGAGGATGTTACTGGATGCCTCGACGAATGGGACATTGCTGGACAAATCACCTACGGAGGCGTTTGCTATCTTGGACAGAATTGCTAACAATGATTATCAATTTCCTTCCTCAAGACTTGGGAGTGGGAGGAGAACACCTTGAGCATTCGAGTTAGAAGCCAAAGATTCAGTGTCCGCTCAACTCTCCGCTATTACTAATATGTTGAAGAACTTACAATGTTCCACTGATGTGAAGGAAGTGAAAACAACTAATCTGGCATGTCTGTTATGCCAAGGCAATCATCACGAGAGTGAATGCCCAACCAACCATGAGTCCATCAACTTTGTTGGTAATTACAATCGAGGCAGCAACAATCCTTACTCAAACACTTATAATGCTGGATGGCGTCAGCATCCCAATTTCTCATGGGGAAATCAAGGAGCCCACAATGCTAATCAACCTACTAGGCAGCAGAATCACAATGAGCCTCAAAGTTACCAAAATGCTATGACATGGCATAATGCTAACAAAGGAGCTTCATCTTCAGCGAGCATAAGTTCCTTAGAAGCTACAATTCAAGAATTCATATCTACTACGAAGACAATGCTGCAAGACCATTCTACTTCAATTAAAAATCAAGGAGCTTTACTTCATAGTCAAG